AATGCTCTGCCGGGCGAGGGGGATCCCAATGCTGCAGGCGTTGCCCAGAGCAACGACAAGATGCTCTCCGTTCAGAAGAACGACGAGAACAGGAGCCTGAAGACTAATCGGCTCTTCCCGACCCCGAACAAGCCAGACCCGATGCCGCAGAACTTGGCGTTCCTCTTCACCAAGATCACGCCGGACCGGGGTGCTGCACTTGATACTAGTTTTGGTTCGCTAGCTTCAAGTACATTGTACAAGACGCAGATTGGGATGTGTCCGTAAATCTACCACACTTCGGCATGGTGCCATTGGTGAACCCCCCAAACAAGTCTTTTTTTTCAGAGCAGTTTAATAGGAGCAGATGATCTACATGCCACTTGTTATAGTTGGGTAACGTTTTACATACTTATGATCTTTGTGCGTACTTAAACTCATATTTTCAATGCTATCCTAGCCATGGACTAGGTGGAATGTCCTTACCGCAATCTTCTTCACTCAAGTGCTCATGGTGATCGGCTATTGTGCAGCCTTGGCTACCTTCCCGGACTACTGGTGGACCTGCACGCTGTGCTTCGGCCTCCCGTTCTCGTACATCGCCATCCAGAACATCTACATCGATCACGATGTGATGCATGGTGCCACTTTCCCGGTTTACGAGTGGCAGCGCTTCTTGACACATCCGTTTGCGGACTTTTTCAGCCTCCCGTGGGAGGAATTCGTGCTGGAGCACAACAGGCATCATGCCTCAACTGTGGACTTGCTGATTCAGGGCGAGTTCGGCTGGGACCCTGAGGAGTTCCATTACGCCCTCCAGCAGTGGGCCGGGCCATGGAGCTCCAACTGGTACAAGTACCTGCTCACCGTACCCTTTATTCCTGTGATCCATTTCTTCGGCCTGAACGATACCGGCTCTCTGTTTGCCTTGGAGTGGTGGATGCACTTCCCCGACGAGGGTGCAGGTGGCAAGTGCAACAAGGAGCTTCTCGGCTTGACTGGCTAGTTTTCTTTGGTACTCCTTTGGACAGTCTTGAGGAAGGCGAGCACATGGCGGCGGTGCATGGAGCATGTTTCTGGCTTCCACGTAATTGTAGAGTCCCTTCACCCCGAGGTTCTGGAGCAAGTGGATTCCACGCCGCCTCAAGCACAATGCCTTCGTGCTCTCGCTGTGGGCGTGTGTGTGGCTGCTCGGCACCTACCCTCTGGGACGTCCTCTGAGCGAGGGCTGGCGGTTCATGTTCACTGTGTCTGTCTTCGCTCGCATCGGCTACTCCGCGGCCTGGATGTTCATCACCAACTTCACTCATAGCTTCTAGGCGGCTTCAATTCGAGATGATATTGAGTTTCCCGTTTGGTCTTCCGTAAGCCCGAAACACTAAGCGCTGACAGAAACCCTAAAGCCTTAAATCCATATTCCTCATAGTACAATTACAAGTCTTGTAACATCCGTGGCCAATATGGAAGCCTAAATAATTACCGACATTATTTCTAAGTTTTCCTTGCTATCAACATATTATAGCTTATCTCTTCACGATGCCCCCGATGTTACCTTAAGCCCTAAACTGTAAAGGTTGTACAGCCCAGGCTTGCCTTGGAACGAGTTCCTGGCACAGGATCCGGGCCGCACCTGGCCTGTCCTTCATAACGTGATGGCCATGGTTCTTGGAGGCGGCTTTGGACTCTTAACATTACAGCAGGCGTTCGGGGTTTTGGAAGGTGTGATTCCAAAGAGTGGCAGGAAAGCACCGCTGGAACGAGATGCTCTTCCACGATGTGGCTCGGCTTTGTTTGAAGGTGTGCCCAAAGGGCAAAAGGCCACAGCGGATGAGTTTCGGAGTTGAATGCCAAGCAAGCTCAAGCATACCGCGCTGTGTCAGGTTGCAGAAGTCCAAGTTCCCGCCTAAAATCAGGTGCACCATGCCTTCCCGAACGCCGTCGGCACGCTGAGCCAGCGTGGCCGCTTCCACGGCTGGGAGAAGGCCCTTCAGCCCTTGTTGAAAGACCTTGGCATGTCCTATCTTTATCTTCTACTGAACGTCGTCGCGACAGACTATGAACCACTTGAAGTGTGTAGTAACGTCAGCGACTCTATGCGCACCATCCCCGCACCTCAAATCCAGGTTCATGATGCAGCTGCAGAAGTCCTGCACCGCGGGCTGTGGAAGCCCAACGGTGATGAGGACGCCCTGTCCCAGAAAGCCGCAGACTCTCCTGCCCTCGAAAACCCCAACCAGCAGAATGCTTCCGTTGCTGCTGCTTGTTGCAGGTGAACGCACACGAGAGGTTGGATGATCGAGTCTTCGATTTTTGTCTTTGCTGTTCAGGAGACCCAGATGCAGAAGACGCAGAAGAAGCGCTCCATGATGATGAAGCAGGGCAAATGAGATGCTCAGTTTTCGCTTCTGCCAGCATAGGGCTGCTCAGCTACGCTGGCAGCATGGTACAGAAGCCTCTCCTGTACAGCGCCTCTTGCGAAGAGCCTGGTTTGTACAGCGCACCTCCGTGCGTGTGCCGTGTGGCACCCTTGAGGCCCGTCGAGTTCGAGTGGCTAGGCCCTGTGTCGGAGCCACTCGCAACGTCTACTCACCTGCGTGTGCTCGGTTGAAGGCGTTTCATGCAGGAGCCTGGACAAGAGACATTGCAAACCTGCATCGCGGCGCTTTGTCGGGCAAGGGTAGCTGGTAGCAGTCGAGTAGGAGTAAAGAGACTTGTGGGACTGTATCAGAAGGCAGCCACTATATTCGTCTGCTCGGGGCTGGCGAGCAACTACTGGCTGTTGTTCTCTAGGCCTCAGCGCGTTCTCGGGTTTGGGTCGGGATCGTTGAAGGGTCTCTCCCCGGAATTGCTTTCGTGGCCTTCTTGTGATCGGCTTCAGGGCGGTGCCTTCGAAGTGAACGTCGAATTCCAGCTTCGCACGCTGGAAGCCGATGTGCCTGGCAAGATTACCGGAAAGTGGGCTTACCGGTGATGCGGGCTTACCGCACCTTCAGTATATGAGTACGATACATGCACGATATTCCTACGTACAAGCATAGAAAAAAGCCGATATAAGACCCATATGTATGTATGAACCATTATCGACGTGCATGACTCGTAAGCGGCAAGAGTTCCAGAATCTGAACCCGACAAGGTTGCAACGCAGCAGTGTTTACTTGGTTTTATCCGTCCATCCCAGATGAACCGAAGCTTGCTGCAACAACGGTGACGATAGCGACACCGGCAGATGTTAGAAGAAACAGAATCAACGGAAAGGACAAGACGACTGGTACCAAGATGAGTATCCATCATACACTGCTAAGTGGCATTCCGTCTTCTGGGCATCACTGATGCCAGGCTGATGCCACAGTGGGTCCGGCGCCCATGGGCTGCTGGTTGAAAGGTTTTCCTTCAGGTTTGGACCTGGACGCAGGACTAGGATGCAGGGCTATTGGGGTGCGGAGGTAAATTACAGTAGAACTTACTTTTATATATATATATATGTACATATATATATATATATATATATTTGTGATTTTGAGGCTTCTGTGTTACGAGCTTCGTTCCGGTTACATAATGCACTCCCTGCAGGAATGAGTTGGGCCTTCGCTCCGCGCTTACAACTGTCACTAGTAGTCTTCTTCTTCTTGTCGCCTGGTTCCTCGTCAAGGCAAGTTCAATGTGGTCAGAGAGTCATAACAAACGACAGAAGAAGCGCCCACCTGGAATACGCTCAAGCCACACGGAGCCCCAGGCTTGACCGATAAGATCGAGAAGTTGGGTGACCCTACATCATCCGAGCGCAGCGCTAAGAAATGGGACGGATGGAGCTCCGGAGCGATCGCCCTGAACCCCTAATGTTCATTGTTGTGGGTAAAACTGTACCTGAACACACATGTCCCTGCTGCACCTGCGGCCAAGTACACCGAAGAGTGTTCTCTGTCGCATCATCCTCATCGGCCCCCAAGATCCGCCCAATCTCCACTGTGTCGGCAACGTGTCATTTGCAAAAAAAAAAACGTGCGATTCAAAGGGTCTTGGACTCAAAATCCCAAAGCAATTTGGCATCCCCGTTCGGAATGCACCCTCAGCACCTTAACATGAACCTGAGGGAGTCAGAGACTGCCTGGGACAGGAAGTGCGGTTGCTGAAGACATCAAAAAAACGGCAATCATGATGCAAGGTATTGGTGTCACACGCACTCATGAGTTTAACCGTACCATGTTGGAGAAGATCCGCTTCATGTCGGGCGTGATGCCTACGAGCAGGGCAATGCATTCCCAAGAACCCACAACAACACGTGACATAAACTTACCCCGACGTACGTGACATCGCTAAGCGGAGGAAGGCACTCTAGTGTCCGACGGCACATGTTGTCACATGGCATAGCAGAAAATCTGCAATGCCAAAGCGTTACGGGAAAACGCAGACTGTAGGTCCCACCCTAAGCCCCAGGCTCCAAGCATTACGACGCTACGACATACAAAACTACCCAACACCCCTCCCGCAATCCCCGCTCCAAAGAGCAGGCAGCAGGCTTTTGCCTCGAGTTTGGGCCCGAACCTACAGGAGCCGGAACTTAGGGCTCTCGGGCCACAATATCATACTGTCATATACCATAAGAAGATACGATACTATACTGTAATACTATAACTATAACATACTCTAGTATGTTATACTATACTATAACATACTCTAATGCCCTAGAGTGTACCATCATGGGGGAGTCAGGCCTGGGGTGGTGCCGTATGCAATGGTAGAACACGAGGTCACTACGCCGCTTTGCCATGCCCAAGCACCACATCCTCATGACCCCTACTACTTCCACCATCGTCATCATCATCATCATCATCAGCAGCAGCAGCAGCACTGTTTCAGTGTTTCTGTTTCAGTTCTTTGCTTTGCCGTGGAATTCTGCTCTGCAGGCTACACAAGAGTTTGCGAGCTGCAAGCTGAACGCCAAACATTCCCAGAAAGCGGCAGACTGCCCTCAAGCCTTAAGAAGACTGAACCGAAGAAGTCCTGAACCTTGCAACAGAGAGGTCTGGAGAATGAGTAATACGATCATATACTATAACATACCCCAGACCCCTATTCCAATTTTAAGGCCCCAAGCCAAGACCCTTAGTGTAAGTCTTGTAGCAACCCAAGCAGGAACCTCACCTCAAAGAAATTAATGCCCCTATGCTACCTTTCCAGGAGGCTGCTGCTGCCGACCCCAGCGCTGCAGCCCTCACTCAGGCAGCCCAGGCGCCGAGTCTGGCCAGGGCGGAAGGAGTTGAATCCAGAGCGAGGGCTTTGGGGGGCTAGGGGTTTAGGGGCTGATTTATCTGCGAGGCGTAGAGGTTTTGGAGGGTCGCGGTCTCAGTTCTGCATCAAGCGCAGCAGGGAAGTGACGAAGTGTGGAGGGCTTTGCAAGAGGTTTTGGAGTCTGTGCTGCGGCCTATTTTGGGTTTCGGACCCAGCCGGAGTGACAGCGATGTGGTGTGGTCAAGATTGGCATCGAAGAAGAAGCCAGGAAAACTAGCCTCACGTCCGCGTGAATCGAGGTGCTTTGCAACAAGTCATCTCTTACGGCATCCCGGGCCGTCTACAACTCCTACCATCCCTCACCTGACGGAGGGTTTAGGGTCTAGGGTCCCTTTGCCCATGATGAAAGGATGCCCTGTAATCCGTGACATGGAGATGCCGAACAAGACTGAAAACCCCAACCCTCGCTTGAACCAGGAGCCCCTAGATTAATAGCACGAATAAGGACAATAACAATAACAGCAGCAGCATTTATCATCCTAGTCATAGAAAGGTACAGTAATAGTAAATCACAACAATGGGAAGAAGAAACAAGCGGTGCCTGGGCCCCAAGAGAAGCCGAAGCAGAGACGCAGAAGGCCGTGGAGGACAATGGAGTGCAGGTGAAGTACACCAAGGCCTTGGGGAAGCGTCTTACTTGGTATAGGGTTCTTGAGGGGGCACCATTCATGCAAATCACGCAGCACCGCGTTGCGGATTAGCACGGCGCAGACATCAGCTCCGACTTAATAGATGTTCAGCAGCAGTCTATCACTCGCAGAGTCGACAGATCGTCTGTGGCGGCCCAACAGGCAACTTGCCAGGGATATGTCCCCGGGAACGAAGTCTCGCTTCTGAGCAGTTCTGCCACACAGGAATCGTTTAGGCCCATTTAACTGGAAAGCAAACGCAAGGAGCCCAAGTCACCTAGTGGACCTAGTAGCCTCGCTCATTCAAGCCAGACCTAAGCGAAGCTAAGATAAGCTAAGGCTAAGGAGCCGGAAGCGCCCAAAGACCCCGAGTCGAAGCTGAGCAGTTTCCGAAGCTCCCAGCGCCTGCCAGAAGCCGGCCGTCAGTGTCTCCGTCATCGTCGTGGAGGCGGCCCTTTAATCGGGCTTGGGTTCGGGGAGTCCTAAGTAAGGTGCGACCCTCTTACAGCCACAAGGGGCCACAGAGGGAAGCTTCGAAAGTCTGATGGGGCATGTTGTTGGCGTTAGGATCCATGGCACTGGCGAGAGGCGGAAAGCGCAGCCGTTGATCCGAAGGGTCGCCCAGGATTCGCGGGGTCTGTAGGCTTTTGGCCCAGGCGAGTGGCCGATGGAAGCGCCCGTTGCAGCGATCAGTGACGTAGAGTAGATGACGTGGATGGTCATGATGATGGTGATGCTCATGATCATGATGACGATGACGATGACGAGGACGATTACGACAACGATGACGATGAAGATGATGAAGAGGAGGAGAGGAGATTGTGTTGCAGGAGGCCGAATTTGCCATGACCGTGCGTAAGCCTTCGTTGTTCCCAAGGCCCCAAGGTACATGACCACAAACCAAAATCAACGACATACAGTACTAGTAGCTGATTAGGGCTGCTAATCTTCAGCACCATCATGCGAGCCATACGGGAACGCTGGCCAGAACATCTAGATCGGATCCACAGCGCTAGTGCAAGAAGCAGAGTAGCACTCATGTCACAGACACGTGCAAGAGTGATGAGCACGGACTCCACAGTCCAGGCCAACATCACCAGCAATGCCACGGATTTCCTGTCTCCGGAGGCTTTCCTGCAAACATAGACATGCAGACATGTATGCGTTCGATCGGGTCAACGGAAGAGGTCGAAACGACGGGTCCGCGATCTAGCATTTAGACTTCAGGCGAAATGTAGAGGCACGGTATCAATGTCCAGATTCAGACCGGTAGTGTTGGATGTTGCTGACAGTCTTAGTGATGCAGAGAATTTCGCGTTTTGCTGCATTGGCTACAGCATATCGGCGCAAGAACACCAAAAAACACTGGGCACCAAGAGCTTCGGCCCAGAGCTTTCGCAGCCTGCGCTGACCTGTCTTCGCGGGGCTTGAGAGAGCCCGTAAATCCTGGAGCCCTTTAAGTGCAAGACGTGATAATAATCATAGTTATGACGTTAGGATAAAGATCATGTGATAATATGTATGATAGCACCAGTATTACTAAGAAAGTAAGCTGAGGGCCGACCGCAAGTGGGGTCCTGTGCAAGCATGTTGATGCCGAGGCGGCATCCTGCCGAGCAAATCTGTGTGTTGCTTGCGTTAGGTTTGGGGCCCGAATGGTGGGGGTTTTAGGGTTTAGGGGGATGCAAGACCGACGGGGCTCATTGACCCAAAATGGGGAGCCCGACTTCCATGAGTTCGAGTTGGACTTGTGAGATGGTAACAGATTCCCGAGCTGCTGGGCGAGCAATGTCCATCTACCACGGAAGATGGAGAGACCCGCCACCCTCCAACCCGCAAAGTCCCAAACAAGCATAGCATTGCCAGGTAGAAGACGAGATCGACACCATGGGATTGGCAACCGCTGTTGTTGGAGGCCATGTCATCACTGTGGCCTGTGATTCAGAGACAGGCTGCATCTGAGATCGGAAGGCTACAGTAGCTCAAATAAGATGTCTTGTAGTCTGGTGCCACACCGTGATGCTAGTTGAGCCAGATTCACGTCAGAGTCAGCACTCGACGAAACAATTTCATTGCCGTGTTTACATCGAAGGCCCGAGCGATATTCTGTTGATCCACTTTTCCTTGGAATAGTGTGGTCTTTTTTGGCATTGGTGCCCTGTTTTTCCTGGCGTGTAAGTCGTCCGAGGTGGGTTCGGAAAAATCAGGGTTTTTAAGTTTTTGGCTGGCCACTGCGAAGCAACCGGATCGAACAGTGGGTCGAGCCACACCTGTCATGCACCTGACTGCCTCTAGTATGTTGGCGCCTCACCTGAGGCTGAGCATCCGTTCCAGAGGGGTCCTGAGTTCGAATCCGGCACAGGTATTCTGGCAGCAGGCTTCTGTGCCTTCTTGGCTTTGTGCTCAGGGGACATGACATGGGACATGGGAGCATATGCTGCTTCAAGTATAGATCACGACCGGCTTTGTGATCGCTGGCCCATGCTGGAAGAACGGACTGTAGTCATTTTTCCGGCATGCATTACTGCTACCTCAGTACCACCATTCTTGCTTCAGTCCCACTGTCACCACTACACCTGTTACTACTGCTACTACTAATACTACTACGACCGCTACTACCACTACGAGCACCACCACCGTCACCAAGACTACTAAGAGGAGGACGACAACTACTACTCCTTCTATTCCCACAACTCCAACAACTCTCGTTGCTGCTACTTACCGCTACTACTACTACTACTACTACTACTACTACTACCACTACTACTACGACTACTACTACTACTACTACTACTACTACTACTACTGCTCCTGCTACTGCTACTCCTACAAACTCTCCTACTGCTGGTGATACTGCTACTGCTACTTTGACTGTTAGTGTATCAATTTGCAACAGCTCATCAGTAGCACTACGATAAGTGTCACGATTGATTGCCGTAACGGGAACAGGTTGTCCGTGACGGGAACCCCTAACCGGAACCATCAGGGTTGCCGTAACAGAAACCACGGGTTCCCGTAGCAGCCCCGGCCAGCCCCCTGTAACAGGAACCACCGGGGAGCTACTGCTACTGAACGAAACATAGCCGTGAGTATAAGGCTTTTACTGGTGTCAAAGAGGGGGACCGAAAAACCGGTCCCCCTGACAAGACTTCCTCCAAGACTTCCAGCCTGGTTTCGGTTACCGGGTTTCCCAGAACAGTTCCTGTTACAGTGCCCCGGCGGTTCCTGTTTCTACCATCCGCCGTTCCGGTTACGACCTGCCGAAATGGTCTCGGTCACTCCCAAACCGGGTTCCTGTTACTCCCCGCACCCTCAATGTCACAGTGTCATCCTTGCTTTGGCTCCTCCGGCAGTGGCTGCTGCGATTTCTGCGCTGCTGCCACTGCTATGTCCTTGTACACACAACTGTTCAACTGTAGAAATCAACAATGCCGCTGCGAACTTTGAAAGCAGCACTGGCATCTCCGCCGGCATCGAGACCATGGGAAACAGTAGCAGTTTCTAAACATCGGGTAGTGATGACGGAAACATGGAGTGAGCACATTCCTTGCAGCAATGGCAAAAGCAATACTAGATTCACTCCAGGGCCTCCCGGGGCTACATGACATACAGGCTGAGACTATGACGGAGGCGTAGTGTTGGCGACGCAACTCCCAGATGTACAGTCATAACATGTACAAATGACAATCGACATTCGAGGGGGAAGCAACCGAGCAGAACAGAGAAGCATGCTAAAGAAATCTCGGCATGACAGATGAATGTCGGCACAAGGAATCACTACTTAAGTTGTTATTCTACTTGGGATAGTTACAACAAGGTTAACTCAAAGCTGATGATGTCGCGCTTCGACAAAAGCAGCTGCAGATCTTCCTTCGTAAGCCTGAAGACCAGAGTACCTAGTAGGAACCTAAGCTCTAAACATCCATTACACAGTGCTTAGCAAGGCTTAGCAGTAGTAGAAAACATTCCAAGAGAGCTCATCCAAGGCCGGCTTATGCTTCGCCTACCGGGTGCGCACGGGCAGAGTGATTTGAGCATTCTCATTTTTTGATTCTGGGCTTGGCAACGAAGAGGTTGGGCTTTGGGGTTCGGGACGTCTCGGGTCCTAAATTCTGACGGAGTGGTTTCATTGTGGTTTCATTTCACGTGAGGTTCCTGTTCCGAAGATGCTTTGACCATCCTTGACCATCCAACTACAGGGCCGAAACTGCGCTCCGTCTATGGGAGGACCAGTTTGGGTGCACGAGCTACAAATTTAGGAATAGACGTGGAGGACGTAGATGATCCTCAAATCCCGAATGCGCGGAGCTTCTCCATGTTCAGAAGGTGCGTTGCAACACTCGAACATTCTATGTGTGCCTCGGTAGCACTCACGGTTCAAGTTCCCAACCACAGAGTCCTGGCAGGTGGTTGGCTACTGGGAGAAGAAGAAGCAGAAGGCGAAGAGTATTCCGAGGGGAAGCCTTTCTCCATGCCCTCTTCCTAACCCTTGAGGGAGCCGCGACAAGATTGTTGGGCCTGCGGGGCCTTCAAGTCGCCTTTGCTGCCGGAGATCCCACCTCGTTTGATCGGGCATGAGCCTCGGCAGCTACGTCTTTTGCTCGACAACTTCCCAAAGGGCCTAAAACCCGCATATCGCACCCACATAGACGTCTCCGAGCTCGGCACCTCTGGTCGCAGGATCTTCTGCAAGACGAGAGCGAGCCTGTTTCCCAGCAATGGAGCTTGTGCTGCTGGGTCAGGCTTGTGGCGCAAGCCTTGGGGCGGTATTGCATCAATTTCATTCTCGTTGAAAGAGTTACCGACATACCAGCGGTAGTGGCAGGGAGCAGCATGAGTAGTAGCAGCAACAGGAGTAGTAGCAGTCCTCGTCGTGGCGGTTACAGTAGGACTAGTAGAGTGCTAGTACCAGTACCGGTAGCAGTGACCGTAACAGTGGTGGGAGAGGTGTCGTCGCGAGGGAGCAGCAGTGCAACAGCGGTAGTATACAACGAAGTAACACAGGTATAGATGATGTCCAGCTGACTTCGCGAAGACCCCATGCCTGCGATCCAATTCTGAGATGCAAAGGTCCAATCATGTTGCCAACATGCCGGGCGGGTTCGATGACGAGGCGAGGCATTGCATTTCCCTCAAGTTGCACTGGGTGTGGGGTGCAGAAATCTTCACTCCGCCCATGTGATGATGGTTGTGACGAGAATGGTGATGATGACGATGGCGATGATGCTGATCCATGCTGATGCTGCAATGGAGGTTGATCATGGTGGTGATGTCGTGTGAAGGGCAGCCAAAGAAAGGGTGCCTTACCGAGCTTTCGCGCCTTTGTTCCTCGGTTCGAGGCTTCAGCAGTCCCCTACCCGGGACTAGCATGGTTGAGTCGCTGGTCAGATGCGGAACGATCTGCGATTTCGAGACTGAGCCGGGTGAAGCATGTGTCCGCAACCATCTGTCCAAAGCTGAATCTCAGTCATCTGCCCATGTCATGATCTGGATGTACGAGAATCTAGCAATCCCTCACATGCGGAAGAGAAGTGGGAGAGCTAAGCTGAAGATGGTGGTGCACTACGACCACAAGCAGCAGAGCTCGGGAGCTAGATTTCGCTGGAGGGGCCCTTAGCCCAAACCGTAAACCCTACGCCCTACTTGCTTTGGGCCGGGAACCCTTTCGACAGTCTGCTTGCCTCTGCCAGGATGAGATTGGCGAGGCCAGGTCGGGGGTCAGAGCGTGATTCCACTTTACTAGTATAGTACACATCAATATTTGTAATATGTTCTAGTATATTAAAGCAGATTATTGTGGCATAGTACATTCGAGTATATCTAGTATCTGTGTTCGTCATGATTTGCCGTGAATCGGAAGACGGTTCTTGTGTGCATTTTACTATGTTGGTTTGCATGGGCGGGTCAGGGATTCAGATCTTCACGGCTGCTTTTGTTGGTCTTCCCGGTGCAGTAGAATGCAAACTGAATCTTGATCGTCACTAGTCCTTTAGAAACACAGCGTGGCATAGTTCGCATCTAACCCGACTGCATCGTCTCCCATTCGAGCCCATAGAAGGCCCCGAACTTTGGATTCGCAAGCTTCGCTCGCGAAAGGCTGAGACCTCAATGCCTCGGATGCCTCCACCAAGCACTCAGCCATCGCGCATGTCCTGGGACCGGCAATTGAAGTCTTGCGTGGAGTGAAGTTTTGAGGCGTCAATGGCATGGCCTCCTCCAAACACACACCTTCAAGGTCTGATATGTATATGAATCAACTGCATTGCCTAGGCTCCAGCAGGGTTTAACAGGATTCTCAAAGTCCCACTGTGCACCTTCATTGATGCCCCCGCGCAGTGACCACTCCACCTGAGTCTTCCTTCAGAGCTCTGGTACCGAGCTCACAAGGGCCTGTTTGCGGAGGATGACGATGATGGCATCGCAGATAGCCACGAGCCCCCGGAGGCGCAGCGCCTAGGCTTTCAAGACTACCGCATAAGTCAGTCCCTGTGTCAGGTGCAAGTGGAGCAGTCACCGCCTACCCCCAACGGAAGAGTGCCGGAGATGACGTTACTTGATGCATCTGGAAGACGGTCACCATTGCAGTTCTGAAGTGCCCCATATGGGAGTCTCCAGGATATTCCTTCGCAGCGGTACATAACTTTAGTAGGCTATGCCAGCGACCCCACCCAATCGATTTCGCCCCCTGTGTTGCTGCAATGTACAAGACACAAAGGTACGGATAATCGCAATAGCACTCTCTGTCTGCTTCGGTGACCAGGAAGCACTGCTTTTGTTTGAGAGCTCACTCACGTGAGAACCTTCAATGGCTCAGGGTAAGCCCATTGTGAAGAGTCTGCGCGGACTTATCTAATAGCTTCGTAGAACTCGACGCGAGTTTTCGTGCTTTGTTGACAGACTTCGCTCAAGCTCTAGACTCGAGATTTCGGAGCAGGAGCGTTCACAACGCAAAGAGATGTAAGCGCCAAAACATTCCTGCAGCTGTTGCAACGTGTTGCAATGTTGCGGGTCTTGCCCTGCAGAGCAACACTGACACTGAACACAAGTATTATAATATACTAATGTACTATAATATTCTATCATATTGTACTTTTAACTAATACAGTATTAATCTGCGATGACCCGGTTGGCACGAGCCCTACGCTTCCGCGGCCCTATGGTTCCCACCCAGGACGGACTCGGAAATCTGGAATCCTGATGAGATGGTCCAGGCCCAGACAAATATCAGCATGAAGGTCTTCATTGCACGCATGTCAGTTTGTGCATAGGTTTAGAAAGAGAGACAGAGAAGAGCAGGCAAGAGATGGAGATGCGCAAGTATGTATAAAAATCACGATATATATATATATATATATATATTTATTTATTTATTTATCTATTTATTTATATACATATATATAGAGAGAGAGAGAGATCTATCTCTTCTTGTTCTATGTGTATATACGTATATACGTGTACATATATATATATATACACACACATACGGACATGCAGAGAAAGAAGGGCGCTGACGTGGACAGTACATAGGAGTATGTCTGTGTCTCGGCGGACCATGATAGCAGGTCTGACATATCTGACTCGCGTACGCATCCTTTGAAGGGCCTCGGTATGTTTTGCGAAGACTGCAGCGGTCTTTGTCTTCGACCAGCACGAGAGATCATGAGATCCACAGTCAGCTTTATGTATGTGTGTACTTATACATGCATTATCTTGCTAAACAGAGATGCCTATGTCTATCCATCTCTGTATATATACATCTCTCTCTCTCTCTCTGCGACTGCTTCAAAGGACATGATGCTGGGGCACAGCAGACCGGGGGTGGCAGGGATAGGTGGTGGGCGGACCACGGACATGGTTGGGGTGGCCAGCAGGGGAAGGATGGAATTTGGTGTCCCGAAATTTAGCAGAACTTATTCTTAACTAGCAAGGCGTCAATGCGACCTTTACTTGAACCTTATGTCTCAAGTTGTCGTTTGGGCGTGTAGCCTGCACGCTGCACCTGAGCTCCCTGCTGGAGTGCCGACAATGTCTGACAGGGCAGTCACGCAATAGCCAAGTTTAGTTTTGGCGTTTAGGCATCAAGTGGACATGCAGAGCTGGCAGGATAAGATCAGCAACGAGGATTCCCAGGAGCCTGCCGCATTGCCCAGGGATTAGACGAAGCATGTGGGTAGTTGTCAAAATTATGGTCCCTTTTGGGGTACCCGAAATAATAGGTGCCGTATTATAATAAGGACCCAAAAAGAGACCATAATTTTGACAACCACCCATGTGGACTTTACTCGCAGGGCTTTAGACGGAATCATGGGTTGGAAGGCTGGGGCCGCTGGAAACACAAAATGGCGCTTTGGTGTGCAACTCTGGGGTCCTTACAATAAGGATCCTACTATTTAGGGTACTATATTAGGGTCCCCTATTTTCGGAAACCCCCATTTTGCAATTATTTCTAAAATCCTCGACAGGTCCGCAACAAGGCTGTTAATGTGCGGAACTTGTGGGTAGGGAGCGGCAGGCACCTGGCATGTCCTAGGTCGTGGACAGAGGGTTACAACGTTACTTCCGCTTTCTTGGTCCTCTGTGCCAGAGAGGACGTTGACGCTTACTCGCAAGCTTGCGCCGGTTGTATCTTTCGGATGAAATGTGTATGTCTTGCTAGTCACCGCCCCCCCCCCCAAGATCCACACGGTTCTTCTCCTTGTACATCCCTGCAGTAAGAACTTGGGAAGGTGGTTCGTAGAATAGAACGTGAAGAACAGAAACCTTTCAGTTTCTTTCTGCCAAGCATTGGGGCCCCAATAAGCTATTCACAGCCTGTCGAAGGAAACAAAAAGAGCACACACCCCGGTGTACGTGTTTTGGGGTCTGGCTGTGGTTTATGTAGCATGCCAGGCTGCAGAGCACCCCTAATTGAAAAAGGAAAACGCGAAATCCTCGGGCAGATGTCAGGTTGTTTGGGTACTCTGGCAACGTTTGCCGCAGCACCAATTTGTCATCAACTAGCTGCAACACCGTGCTGTCCCGTGCTGGCAAGATGTGCACCCGAAGCAGAAAAGGTTCATTGAATTGTTCAGAGCCGTGCACCAAATCACCACCCGCAAGTCTGTGCTCTTGCCAGCCGCTGCAGGACACGTCAGCCGGAAGAGCTCAGGCTCGCAGAAGGGGCAGCCAGGAGTGACATGGGAAGACGGTAATATAGTGGAAGTAATGGATGCTGCCCGTTCAGGTGTGAGGACGTGCCAGATAAAGGCCCCTCTCAAAACACAGGCTTTTTGGCATTTGACTGTGCATTCCAACCAGAGAATGCGGTGAAGTTGCCGTAGGGTCGTCGCCAGCTCCTGCAGACTGGAAGGAAGACCACTCCGGTTGCTTTAAGAATGGGGGGATGCAAGATGTTGGAAGGATGGTTTGATGCGGTCTCCTCCCATGCAGGCGGCAGAGGCTGCGAGTTCGCATTCAGATGGATCGCTGCCAGCGCCCTCACCCGTGTCCTCGCCCCAGTGTTTGCAAGGATCACCCCAACCGGCCAAGGCAGGTGCGTAAGGGCTCATAAAGAAGTTCGATCTGTGAGCAAGGCTTGCAATGTGAGTTCCTGCTAGTACTCGTAGGTCCTACTTGGCTGCTCACACTCATATAGGGGTATAGGTAATTATTCAGGCCCCTATGTTAGACTTTTGGATACCAGGCCGGATGCACGAAGCTATCGCAAACAGCCCCAGGCAGCCCGGCGAACCTGTCGCCCCGGCGCCCAGCTCAGAGGAGTGATGGCTGCAGCACTGTAGAAAGCAATGGTTCGTACTCGCAGTAGTAGTAGCAGTAGCAGTAGCAGTAGTAGTTGTTGTTGTTGTTGTTGTTGTTGTAGTTGTTGTTGTAGTTGTAGTAGTAGTTGTAGTTGTAGTTGTAGTTGTAGTTGTTGTAGCTGTAGTTGTAGTTGTAGTAGTAGTAGTAGTAGTAGTAGTAGTGGTAGTTCCAGATCTGAGCTGCGCACAGAGCCTCGGCAGCGGTGGCTGGCACAAACCATCCTTTGCGCCTCAGCCACTTCGACGTCTGCAGGCGTTCTCTCAGTCTGTCGCTCCAATGCTCTTACCACAGTGTCTGAGACCCCCGAGCACTGCATTGCGGCTATAGTCCGATGTGACTGGAAAAGATCCTTGAAGAAATTCTCTTACAGACAGGACTACGGGTCGAAGCTGGGGTGAGGGCATTGCCAAACTTGCGCTGCTAAGTGGATCTGGCCGCGCTTGCCCATGGGGTTTGGCGCGGTTGGCTCAAGATCTGTTTCCGAGCGGTAACCCAGCAATTACCTGGCACACACCAACAGGTCCATCCCGATACAACTTACCTTGGGTCTCCAGCAACTGATGGTCATAAGTCCCAGTTCAGCCCGGGCCTGAAACTGGACTGAGACTGAAAACATGAAGCGAGGACGCGACTATCGGCCGGACAGTAAGAGATCCGTCGGTGGACTGCGCCTGAGAAGCCGATATAGTCTGCCAAATTTAGACTGGCGTGCATGTGCGTAAGTAGCTATGCCGTCATATCAGACATAAGCACGCCACGGTCGTCGTCGTGGTAGTAGCAGCAGAAGCAGTAGTAGTGGTTGTAGCAGCAGCAACAGTAGCAGCAGCCGCAGCAGTAGCAGTAGCAGTAGCAGCAGCAGAAGCAGCAGAAGCAAGAGAAGTAGTAGTGGGGTAGTAGTTAGTTTTCGTCGTCGTCGTCGTCGTCGTCGTCGTAGTAGTAGTAGTAGTAGTAGTAGTAGTAGCAGTGGCAGTAGTAGTAGTAGTAGCAGTAGTAGTAGTAGTAGTAGTAGTAGTAGGAGTAGCAGCAGCAGGAGTAGCAGTAGCAGTAGCAGTAGCAGTAGCAGTAGTAGTAGTAGTAGTAGTAGTAGTAGTAGTGTAGTAGTAGTAGTAGAAGTACAAGCAGCAGTGCAATAGCCACGGCAGTAGTCGTGGTGGTGGTAGCAGTAGTCGCGGTAGTATGATGTGTACAAGTAAATGTACACACACAAATGATTATGGGTGTGTACATATATATTAATATATGTATATGACTGCATATATATATATATACAGCTTACTCGCATTTAGGCATGAGCACATCTATACATATGTATGCATTCAAACACTTTTGTTAATCTATGTGTATACTTATATGCTGTACCGGTACCTCTTGTGGGCAGCCTATCTAACGGAAGTATATGCGGTAGGTAGAAGTGTATCTAGGCGTAGTACATCATGCCAGCGGTGGTGGTGGTGGTGGTGGTGGTGGTGGTGGTGGTGGTGGTGGTGCCAACACGTATCGCGACGTAAGTGCAAGGTCGAAAGACACCGGCCTAGTGACGCAACTAGCATGCACAGTGTTCATGCAAGTTGAAAAGTTTAGACCATGTTTACCACTAAAGTGCCATTCTCAGCTCTGGCAGTGTGTGTCCACTCCATTCCTGATGACAAATACTGCCCTGAACGGTGTTGCTCTGTGAAGGAGCACACCCTCTTGCTCGATAGCTCTACTGGCCTAGAAGGACGGAAGCTACCACCAACACCTATCAAGGTGGTGATCAAACACCAAGCATTCCATCAGCACACACGAGCGCATAATCAAAACTCCTGCTGCACGCACATATATACGACAACCACCGACAATGTCTGGTCTTGGAGATGCGGCTTTACTGCGCTCCAGCATTTCTAGCTGGCACACACAAGCTCATGCGGATAGACGTGAAAATCTTGGTAACAAAACGAACTAGTTTGGACACAAAGGACGAGGATTGCAACATAATGCTACTCGCAAAAAGGTTTCGTGCAGCTCGTGGCCACCAGCAGCCTGCGGCGCAAATCTTGTAATCTCCGCACTGTTGCTCTTGAGTTCAACTCAAGATGACTACACCTGCTCTTATACATTATACATGCGGTTACTAACGATGTCTGAGTACCACTGCGAGATCGGAGATAAGAAATCCTGCACGGTCAGGACTGGAATCTGGGGGCTTGGGCTCATTCATGTAGATGAACTTGTGGCTCCCCAGACTCCACGAGGAAGTCGCTAGTTTCCCGATGATTTTGTGATCGGGTCATGAACTATCCCAAGAGTCGCGCCAGCGCATCTTCGACGCGGAATCCGACGCCATCCTCACCTGAGGAGCGATGGGTCATTGAGTGTTTGGACCGGTGGAAAGTGCGAGGCTGCAGACATGGCGTTGACACAAAATTTCGACACTAGGGCACGTTGAAATGTGGGACCAAAAAGCTCTTGTCCATGCTCTCAGATTCCGGACGAACACGCGGGATCGAAGGCATCGGGACACGAAACCGACGTCCGGAACCCGCATCAGACCTACAAGACTATCCTGAAGACCTGACAACAAGGCTATGGACGATAACTGTTTATTTAAGAGCTACTGCAAAGTACCTAGGGGTTATACTCTTTGCGTTATCAACTCTGCTCCGAAACCCTTGATCTGAACCCAGGCTCAAATCCATAAACCATCTTTTCACAAGGGACTCGACTGCTGCCCTTACTGCCCAACCCTTTTTTTGTCTAAACCGCGAAACTCAAAGAGTTCCGGGACCGGACCTCCGAAGCAGTTCTTGTGGATCTCGGCGTTGTAGAGCCGAGAGAAGGGAACCTCTTTCATGCAGCTGGGGTGACAGGTGGCGGATTTGGGGGTTTCCGACAATAGGGGACCCTGATATAGTACCCTAAATAATAGTAGGATCCGTATTACAAGCACCCCCAAAATAAGGTGCCCCCCTTATGTTTGGAAACTCCCATGTGGAATCCAGAAGGCCGTTTGGCCTTAGGTGATTGAAGCACAGGTACCCACCTTGCAGAAGTTTTCGTCTGTGAATGTGGGTCTCTAATCTGGCAAAACGGCATGAGTACTTGAGGCTGCATCCGGCTTTGTGTTGGAGCGGCCCAAGCAAGTCTGCCCAAGCCGCTGCTTAGATGAAAGCCCCATGAGTCTATGAGATGCAGATGTCGCTACGTTGGCTTAGCCTAGGGTTCAGGGTTCCATGACGAACAAGGCTGCGTGACATCTGAACACAGCTGAAGCCTCTCCAGCCCAAACTAAACCCACAACCACACCAGAGCCTGAACCCCAAATGCCTCTGTAATATAGGGACCTTAATTTTTTTTGCCTAGGACCTTAATAATACTATAAGTTAAGCACAGTATAATAAGGAACCCCCGGTAATGACTAGGGCGCCTACGTATTCTTCCGTGTCTTTGGGTGCCAAGGCCAGCACTCCTTTGGCATCCTTGCAACACTCGCATCTGGCATCCTCGAACCTGTGCTTAGGGCTTTGAAAGACTCGAGGACTGAGCATAAGAAAGGCTTCTATAACCCTAGGGATCTAAGGACTCATATATTAAGGCTTTCGGGCCCAAAGACCCTACTATATAAGGCTCTTTGGGCTATTTTGATCCCTAGGGAAAGGGCTCTATGAGGGGCTCCTCTCTTTTTTGTTAGGGTTTCGACTCTCGCACGCAGCAGGCAAGTATCCTCATAAGGTTTAGGGCGTAAGGTTTAATGTGGACAAGGGACTATCTAACTACCGTCCGGCTGAACAGGGGCTGCTTGCAATCTTCTTGCAAGCATCATCCCTCGTAGCGGTTGTAGCGTTCGTGGCCGGCCTTGGCGTCCCTGTTATGACGGCAATGAACATCGGGTGTGCGGGCACGCAATTAGGGGTATGCTATGCGAGGGGAGTGCAAGGAGTAGCTGCGCTCCTAGATTGGTCCTAGATCTACCCGGGACTCCGGCCAGCGGCTGTCTAGCGGAGCCGCATCAGCAAGTCGCCGACCTCCACACCGCATGTGTCGGAGAAGCCACACGGCTCACAAATGCTGTGTGCGGCTGCAGGCTGTGGCAGCTCTGGAGGATGTATCATTTGTGCATGGCTTGTCTCTGATATGAAGGTACTGGGCAGGTTGTCAGCTGCCAGGCTTGATACAAGTCCCACTAATCTGAGCCACACGATGTACTTCCTTCGACGGGATCACGTAAAACCTCTGCACTCAGGGTCACACCAATCTCGGCGGCTTGCGGCTGAGTACTTCAGTGCTTAGCACCCCCCGTCCCCCAGTGCTGTGTTTCATCGGGAACTGCGGGGCATGGGCCTGCAACTTCGTTGGCCGCCGGCAGCTCCTGTGCAGCAAGTGAAACCTCAGAGAATTGCAGATCTTCCTCGTGTGTTTTGGGATTCAGGACAAACCCCAGCCCGTCACCACAAAACTGGCCTGAACCTTATAAACACAACTTGAGCGCATGTAGTGCGGGCCCCTCGTCAGCCCTTTCATGCCCATCTCTTCTTCTGATCCTGCACGCACCGGACTACTGCCATCACCACGGGCATGACCACCCCAGGTCTCAACAGACCCGTGGCCGAGAAGGCCAGCAACAGCAAGGCATGGATCCGCTGCACATGTTTGAGCCGATCCTGCACAGCCCCTTGGTCACCACCCATAGCATCATACCAGGTCATGACGGATCCATCATCGCGAATGGTGCTTTCACCACCCCAGCCAGCATCACATAACCGCGAAAGCACCTTCCATGGCTTGGATCTGCTGCATTTTGTTCAGCTCATCCTCCAGAGCACTACAGTCGCCCCTGTCACCACGGATCCATCACCTAGAACTGCGGCAAAAGCACAACAATCTTGAATCTGAGCGAACGTTGTTTAGGTGCCGGGTCTCTGTGTCACCATTCTGAACCCCCCCAGCCGTCTTGAGGACTGCAC